GCGTCCGCGGCGCGTGAGACGCCGGCGCCCGAGGCTGCATGTGGGAGCGCCTGGCGCCGAGTAACGCGAGCCCGCACCCGATCTGACCTCGGTGGCGGCGTCGGGTTTCCGGCGCCGCTCGTCGCTGATTCACCCGATCGCCGCCGACCGGCGAACGTGCCACCGAAAAGCTGAATTTGCACGAATTTGCTCTCAACTGCAGCCGTGTTGATCGGCGGCGGCCAGGCAAGAGGATCCGGTGGGCTGGTGGTGCGGCCACTGGCGGTCGTCTCGTGGTGCAAACCGATGACGATGCTGACACTGCGGATCTACTGATGGTAGCTGCTGGTGGGTTTGATGCTGACGGCAGCTGATGGTGGGTTTGATGCTGATGGCTCTGGTGGCAGTATGATGGTGCAACTGTGAGGGCTGCTGGCAGCGGGATGTGTGTGTGATGAAGCTGATGATGTCCTGTGTGCTGATGGCGCCAGGCATGGTGTCACCTGATGGTGCTGATGGTGTAATAACTGGTGGCCCCTGACGTTGCCAAAAAACAACGTAATCAGCACCTAGCGGTGCTGACAGCTGACGGCACCCAATGGCGCAGCTGCTGATGGTCCTGCAGCTGATAGTGTATGGAGCTCACGCCGGTAATACCAATACAATGTGGGTACTGATAAAGACAACAGATGATAATACGGACATTTGACGGCCGGGATGACAGACGACGCCTCCCGCCGTCGTGCCGTCGGTCCGACGACCGGGCGGCGGCCGCCCGCTCCGGGGGCCCGCCCGGACGCCCGCGCCGCTCGCAGTATTTGCTTTTGCTAGGAAACGCCAATAGTGCGGTGTCACACGGCCAAGTGGTTGCACTGCGCTCCTCGTGAATGCAAGATAAATAAACAGCCGGGCCGGAGACGAGCGCCATTTGGAGGCAGCCACCGTGTTCGCACAGCGGCCAGGGTTCCACCTCCTGTTCTCAGCGGCCAGAGCCCCTCTGTTCTCAGCAGCCATGGCCTTTTGTTCTCCGACGACCAGAATCCCTCCTGTCCTCAGCTACCCGAGTCGCTCATGTTCTCATCCACCAGAGTCCCTCCTATTCCCAGCGGCGACCAGAGGCCTCCTATTCTCCAGCGACCAGAGACTTCCTGTTCTCAGCGGCCAATCCCTATCGTCCCCATCGGCCAGAGTCTCCGTGTTTACATCGGTTATCGGTTTGCAGTACAACCAACAGCAGTTCCGTTCCTCCAGCCAAAGCCCCCCAGAGCCCCCAGAAGCCCCCAGAGCCCCCAAGGTTCTGGCTGGCCGGAGTGGAACTGCTGTGGGTTTAGACTGCAACCGATACCCGATGTAAACACGGAGGCTCTGGCCGCTGAGGACGATGGGGATTGGTCGATGAGAACAGGAATGGTTTTGGCCGCTGAGAACAGGGGAGTCTCTGGTCGCTGACAACATGAGGCTCTGGTCGCTGAGAACAGGAGGGACTCTGGTCGATGAGGACAGGAGGGACTCGGTTGGCTGATAACAGGAGGGATTCTGGTCCCTGAGAGCAAGAGGCTATGGCCGCTGAGAACAGGATGTTATCGGTATCGGTATCGGTATCGTATTCATATCGCTTATCGGTTGCAGTCCACACCCTCAGCAATTCCACTCCGCCCAGCCAGTGTTGCGAGAAAAGGAGAGACTCTGGTCGATGAGAACAGGAGGGACTCGGGTAACTGTGAACAGGAGGGATTCTGGTCCCTGAGAACAGGAGGCTATGGCCGCTGTGAACAGGAGGGACTCTGGCCACTGAGAACAGGAGGTTATCGGTATCAGTATCGGTATTTATATTGCTTATCGGTTGCATTTGCAGTGTTTACGTCTGTTATCGGTTGCAGTCCACACCCTCAGCAGTTCCACTCCGCCCAGGCAGAGTGTTTATATCGGTGATCGGCTGCAGTCCACACCATCAGCAGTTCCACTCCGAACACTCCGCCCATGATTGTAACCGTCCAAAGCAATCCCGGCCATCCATAGCATCCCTCTCGGTAAAGGCCCCACTCATCCATAACTCTCTCAGGGCACATCCGGTCCTCCACTGCTCCCTGACCTCGCCGAAATGGCACGGGGTCCGTGGCCCTGGAGGGTTTTAGGCAAGGGAACTTGCAAAGTATATTACGCCTCCGTTTTGCACCACTTCAAGTTCAAATAGACCTTCAAATGTCGAACGGTCACTGACCAAGTCTTGCAGAATCCAAAATAATGTAGTCGAAATCGGACAAGAAATCTATTTGCAAACCGAGTTTAGCACAGTTGAACACAGCGCCGTTTTAACCCCTATGGGTTGCGCCGACATCGGTAGAGTGCACGTTCTCACGCCTCACACAGCTCGGGTACGGAGGGAGGGTGTGACCTGACCTCCAGCCCCCTCTTCCTCCCCCTCCCCCAGGTCCCCCGACTCCCTGACGTCCAGGCCAGGCGCCGTCGGACCGCCGCGCCCTAAATCATGCTCGCATTGTCGGCCCGAGAAAACGACACGTTTGCAACAATGGCGTAATTGATTTCTTCCGCGACGTGCTGATGTCAGCCGGCAAGTATGTGATGAGTCGGTGAGTTCGGGTGGCCGCCGCCCGATCGGCGCCGGCCCGTGTTTCCCAACGGCGCGTGAATCCAGGCCCCAAACAGGCGCCGGGGGCCGTCCGAGCACGCGCTCGGACGCCCGGCCGCGGCGCCGCGCCTCCGGTACGGCGAACTGACCAGGATCTCCCAGCAGCCGCTGCTCGCAAGGCCGGCCCCATCGCCTCAGCAGGCTCGCTTCATTGGGTTCGCGGGCGCGACGACAAGTATTCCCAAAACATCGCGCATGAGTTGAAGCTTTTCCGGACCGGCGCAGCGACTTGACAGCCACCCCATGTTCTCCGCCCATGGATGCCGTCCGGCCAGCGAATTGTGCCGGCTGGCTGACATCAGCGGCCAGCACGGCGCGCATGACGAGCGCTGCCCACCTCAGCGGCGCGATTTCCGAATTGTCCACTGGCGCCGGATGTTTACCGAGCGGCGGCCGCTGACGGGTCATGTTTTCACACGGCGCCGCTGCCGGCGGCGGCGGCGGCGGCGGCGGCGCA